TTTAGCCATTTGGGTTTGATACTGTTACATGTGTAAGCTTTTGTGGGCCGCAGCGACACAAGTTACGCGAGGCACACGGTCGTCATTTTTTCCTTCGCTTTTTAAGTACTTATTATATTACTATCTTATCATGAAATTTCGATATGGGACCGAGGTCAGGGTTGGACAATACAGTGAAAAATTTTTCACTGTCATTAATATGGCTCCTGAGACCCATCAGCTCTAGAGCCCCCTTTAGACCTTTAACTGTTTTAACGGCAGATCATCGACCGCTAATACCCCTTTTCTGTGGGGTGTCACGCTAGCAAAAGCGAATGATTTAATGTTCCTTTTTTTAAAAAAAAGGGGAAATGAGTTTGCTTCCTATTTCATATTCTATCTGCGTGTAAACATAGTTTTATCAGGACTTATTTTATGATATTAGGGAGTGAAATTTGTTACTTTTCTTTTTTTTTTTCTTTTTCCGACAACCATTATGTCTGATTTTGGAGAGCCCCAAACCCCTACCTTTCTAGATTGCAAATTGAACACAGACTTTCTTTAACGGAATTATTTCAAATGGATTAAAAAGGAAACAATGGTTTCTAGAGATATTCAAATGAATACAATATTGGCTAAAGTGTGTGATGGCGACATAAGTTTCAGGATTAGCCTGGCATCACGTCCCATCAAAGATACGCCACTACTTACAAGACCAAGCACATGGTCGCAAAGATACGCCACTACTTACAAGACCAAGCACATGGTCCCAAAGATACGCCACTGCTTAGGGCTTACGTTGTTCATTGTCAAAAATAAATTTGAAGCAAAATTTTAACGTAAAAACTGAGAAAAAAAAACGATTCGACCCAAATTCCGTTCGATAAAATTACCGTCGATCAATTTACCGTCGACGAAATTATTTCTTTCGATAAAATTTCCGGATACGAGATTGTACTATTTTTCAGACCGAAACTGCGCGCGTTATCTTGATAGTGAAACCAGTACTTCGTAGTCATCCCGAGAGTAGCCCATCCCCTCCCTCCGGATTGGGACACGAATGGGGACACATCCTGAATGGAAGATCAAATGATTGACACTCACAAGGTAATTTTTTAAATGGCCGTTGGGGTTAGAGTGGTGGTGGGGGGGGGGTAGCTGATTAGTGGGGGGGGGGGGGAGTGCCAGGTACTTTATTGTTGGACATATTTTTGCTCCGGGGGCACTTGGCTTTCCCCGGGGGTCACTGCCCCCCCCCTCGAGAGATAGCTGAAAGAAACCCTGCAGGTATGTGATTTTACAACATCTGGGGCGGGGAACCTTGGTAAAGTCCGACAAGATTGGGGAACAAAATATTTTTTTATACCTTTCTGTCCAAAGTCGCATTGACCACATTGAGCCCTCTCCCCTTCCCCTTATATCCTTTGACTACATTGTGGTCCTTCGTGCTTTGTCTGAATAGAGTTATCAGTAAAATAGTACTACAATGCAATGTCCCTTGCTTTTCATTATTCCTTTACTGTGTGAGGTGTGTCGGCGAGATCAGACGCGAGAATCAAATGAACCAATCGCTTACTACCATTTCATGTTATTCAATCTGTAATATGCGTGTTTATTGGCTTCATGCATAATAATGTGAATAACTGTGAATAATGCATATGATTAACTGTGTAATTTATAATATGCATAATGCATACGTAATACAAATAGCACACAAATGTGTATATCTGATTAATAATAAATCATATTATTAAATGTGCAAATTTTAATGTCCATATAATATGATATCAATAAGAAACACTTATTTAATCCCAAACGAGAGTCAACACGCGATCAGAATAAGCCACTGCTATTTTTTATTTCCGTAAAGAAATAATATGTATGGACTTACAAATATAAACACTGAAACTTAGGAATTTATATGAAACATATTTTGTGACTTTTTTTTTCTGTGACTTTTTTCTTGTGACTTTTTTCCTGACTTTTTTTCTTTGAATTTTTTCCTGTGACCTTTTTTTTTCTTGACTTTTTTGTTGTTGCTACAGTCAGGTTGTTCATAGGAAAGCAAATTCAGCAACACTGCAGGAAGCTTAAAATAGCACTTCACTTCGGAAATTATTTTAATGCCCCTCCCCCCCCCCCC